CCCCAATATTTGGTTCGACGATTTGACCAAGGCCATCCAACCAATTCTAGGAAGTTAGGCAGCTATATATGCTGGAATCTACAAAAACAAACTTGAGGAAAAATCATTAACGATCGGAGAGGTTGCAAAAGACCTCAGGAAGGAAGCAGAACGTCGAGATCTTCTTAGCTCGCGAGAGAAAGGTTCCCAAATAACTAAAGGCGTATTTGGCCTAACCTTTGCCGCAGACCGCGACAATACATCTTGGACGGAGGCTGAAATGCATAACGAAGAAGGGAGCTAACCTAGTCAAGACTAAGTCAACAGCCGAAAGCGAAAACGCATAGTTACTACACGGAGCACTAATATAGTATGTAAAGCCTGTGATGGCAATCACGCTCTAGAAAACTGCTACTATGTGTTTTCCAACGATGCACTAGACTACTTCAAGGGCAGGAAATTAATCCGTGATGCGGTTGAACATCGACTTAAGAACGACGCATCTCTCAAGGATGAAATCAACCGCATTAAGAAAGTCAAACACGTTAAAGCTACCGATTGACTAGGACGAAGTATTGGAGAGTGCATAGCCAGCTTCGTTGTCTCTGCGTTTAATTCGATATCCTGCACTACATACTACCCATTGAAGAATTCGGCTCTTCTTGACTCAGGGTCAATAATACATATCTTTAATAACTTCAACCGGTTTAACAACTTCCGTCGATCGGAGGCTGGGGATTTCATCCTTGCTGGAGAAAGCAGAATTCCTATCCAAGGATACAGGAATGTGAACATACAAACCCAGGGACCGAGAGGACTAAGAATAATCCAACTGAACGATGTCGCACTATGTGGAAATTTCCCTTGCAATCTGGTATCCCTTAGACAATTAAGAAAACGCGGATATTGGTGGGACAATCGTCTTCGTTCTAACTACATAAGGTTATTCGATAACTCAATCGTATGCAAGGTTATGGACCGATATGACTAATTCGTCATCGAAGATATACCTCCTAACACGCCGAATACTGCATTCGTTACTCGAAGACATAAATTAAACTCCTGGACAAAGAAAGGTGCTATGAAAGCAGACGCAAGGAGGTGGCATCTTCGACTTGGACACCCAGGACCTCAGGCTCTAGAACATCTAGTTAATACCTTACAAGGGGTCCGGATAAAAGGACTAACCACGGTGGAATGTGATGGATGCGCACTTTCCAAGATGAAGCGTCAAATAAGCCGTCAACCATGGAACGTAGGCTACGGCCCGGGTGAGCGATTAGCAATCGACTTTCATGACCTTCCAAAAGACCCTATAGGCAGAAGTAGCGTAATGCTAATCACGGACCGCTGGTCGGGAATGATTTGGGACTACTACCTTGCGGAAAGAAGAATAGGAACGATCAGTACCGTATTGAAAAACATAACCGGCATACTCGAACGACAATACCAAATCAAACCAAAGATTATCGAATGCGATAATGAAATCGTGACGGGAGGAGTTATATCTATATTACTTCACTCCCAACATATCAGAGTCGAAGCATCAGCTCCGAACACCCCAGCACAGAACGGAGGAGCTGAGGTGTCAGGGAGAATTATCAAGGCGAAAGCGCGGGCTATGAGGATAGGAGCTCGGCTGCCAGAGCATCTGTGGGTCGAGATTTACCGTGCAGCTGTATATCTGTACAACCGGACGCCAAAGCATATGTATAGCTGGCGAACACCGTACGATAGATTTTACACCGCCCTAGCGCACAGAGACGGGGTTGCGGTCCAAGACCGAAAGCCATACCAAGCACACCTACGTGTCTATAGATGCAAGGCATATGCTATGACGACAGATGCTCAATTACAACGGAAGAAAAGGCAAAAGTTGAACCCAAGAGCATGGATCGGTTTTCTTGTAGGGTACCAGTCAACAAACATTTATCGAATATGGAACCCTCAGACTGGAAGAGTCGTCGGAGCAAGAGACGTTATTTTTAACGAAGACGAATTATTTAACGGAAACTTAAACCAATTAAGAGATGACCTCCTTCACGTCGGACAGCAAGAGCTAATCAATTTACTTGACCAGGTTGAGGAACCAGAAACAGACCGAAATATGATAGCAGAAGAAGACTACACCGGTGCCTTTATACTCCAAACAAATTGGGAGGGCCTTTATAGAGAAGACGAGGACGTCGGAACCCAGCTCAGTTAGGAAGATGCCGTTCTCCATGAAGTAGAAAGAGATACAGGAGCTGAACAGTTGGAGGCTGAGTCTGATCAACCAGCTGGTACCGACGAAGGCTCTAGACAAACCGGGGACGCGGAAGTCGACCTGGGGAAACCAGAAGGCGGCACGGGAGACCAGGCAGAAGCCGGCACCGATGACCAAGCCAAGAATTCTGATGCCCAGAGTCGTCCGTACCCATCCCCTGTGTCTCTTCCACCGACAGCACTTCTAGCTATGACGATTCGGGATGATTCGGAATTCCTATAAGCAAATGCTCAGAAAGGTGAAAGTTTATATGATGTCTTTGAAGCATGGAAGGCAGCGTTTGCGGCTGGACGACAGGCCACGCCGGTGGGCATCTTTGAAGGAAAGCAGATCGACAAAGCAAAGCTTCAACGACTGTTAAAGAATCCAAGTTGCCTACACAGGCGGCAGATGCCTCCGTTACCGCGAAGCCATGCTGATCTTAGAAACCACCCCATGGGTACGCTATTCGAGACGGCGGAACAACAACATCTACGCAGTCACGCCGAGATGAAATCTTGGATTGAAATAAGTCGAAAAGACACCCGTGCGAAGGACTGTCAGGTCCTAGACTGCATGTAGGTATACGTATATAAATTCGACAAGCATGGACGGTTTCAAAAGGGCAAAGCACGCCTCGTGGTCAGAGGAGACCAGCAAATCAAGTCAATACATGAAGAAACCTATGCCGCAATACTAGCAGGACGGTCTTTCCGGACACTGATGGCGGTTGCTGCACGTTTCGACCTCGAACTAATCCAGTATGATGCCGTTAACGCGTTTGTAAACGCAAAGCTAGACAAGGACATATTCATGCGCATGCCTCCAGGCTATCGGAAACCAGGAATCATCCTGATGCTCCAGAAAGCGTTGTATGGCCTAAGAGAGTCACCACTCCTGTGGCAAAAGGACCTTATGGCTACGCTGAAAGACCTCGGGTTTGAAACCGTTCCACATAAGCCCTGCTGCATGATCAAAGGAGCTATCATTATCTTCTTCTATATGGATGATATAGTCCTGGCATATGAAAGGAAGAAAGAGAATGAAATCAAAGAAGTAACAGGAAAGTTACAGAGACGATATAAATTAACGGGGGGAAAACCACTACAGTGGTTCCTTGGAATCGAAATCATTCGAGACCGAGACAAGAAACTTATCTGGCTATCACAGTCAGACTATATTGACAAGATTGCTAACCTATCTGAAGATAGAGATCAGCGACATAACATTCCCATGAGACGCGAAGAGCTAAGACCGTATGAAAAACAAGCTAGCATAGCGTCCATAAGGCGATACCAACGCAAGATTGGATCAATTCTATATGCTGCCGTTATTACTAGACCTGACATAGCTTTCGCAGCATCAAAACTAGCCAGGTTCAACGCAAACCCAGGTCCAGAACACCACAAAGCAGCAGACCAGGTTCTGCTTTATCTAAAGAAAACCAAATCGCTTGCCTTGCAATTCGGCGGAGACGATGAGTTCTTCGTAGCAAGCGATGCCTCGTTTGCAGACAATACAGAGGACCGCAAGAGTTCCCAAGCCTATGTAATGCGATTGTTTAGAGGCACTATCGGTTGGAGAGCTAATAAGCAAGCAACCGTTACTACTTCAACAACAGAAGCTAAGCTACTTGCTCTTGCTCAGGCAGCCAAAGAAGCTATATTCGTATCGCGACTACTTAAGGAACTTGGACTTCAATTGGATGAATCACGGATACGAATACAATGCAATAACATCCAGACAATACAACTGATCAACAAGGACATCACCAAGTTGCAGACAAAACTCCGACACGTTGATATACACAACCACTGGTTGAGACAGGAAGCTCAATTGAATAGAATCAAAGTGGAATACAGACCTACTGCAGATATGGTTGCAGACGGACTGACTAAACCGATGAGCCATACGCCATTCAAGACGTTTATCAAACAAATCGGCCTAGTGGACATCTCCAACCACCTAGAGAAGAGAAAGCTGCCCACACTGGGAGAAATAGAACTTCTAGGTGAAATGGAAAAACTGGAAAACTAAGTAACCCAGCGGATCAGTCTCTGCCTAAGCGGCCTCAACTGGGGGGGTGTGTTAGATTGACGCCTGCGTCCGGATAAAATGCTAGGAAATCTAGCTTAGTTGCATTCTTGCAATATGCTGAAACCGGGAAGAACGGGTAGATACAAAACAGAACCCCGCTTCAACCGGAATGGGTAGAATCACTCAATCAACAACATGAATCACTCTTTGCTCAATGAACCCCAGGTGTATTGCATCAAACTAATATCGTTTATCTAACAGTTGAATGCATGCCCCGATATATGCAGTGGTCCGTGTGACAAAAACCTTCAAATCGGTAATTACCGAATAGACGGTTATATAATCAACCCAATAACCCCTAGACAGTCTCTAATGAATGGAAGCATCTTTTTTTACCCCATAAGTGGTGGGCAAATTGACTGCGTGACATAGTTCCGGGGAACCGAGGACAGAAATAGCAATAGATCAATGACTGGTGGCCATTCGCTATGGCATTGGGAGTCAAATGAATTAAAAAAGCCTTTCCAGAGTTGACCAAGCTATCGTGATATTATCTTTGGTGAATTGCATAGTCGTAGCCATAACAAGTGGATTTGCGTTTTGCGAATTAGATAAATTATTAAACGACTTGTCTATTCCTGAGAATAGCAGAGCGCCTCTGTTTCTGTTTGTCGCTGCGATACACCATTAAGCTGGGAATATAGCCCGTTAAAGTACACTCACTCTTGACCATAACCTCCTATTCTCCTTTCCCTAGCCCTCTCAAAGCCTCCCATTCATTCTCTAGCATAGAAAAGAGAAGCACGTCCCACCATTTCCTCTCGTGGAAATGTGACTGCCGGTAACGGCCTTCGAGTACAAAGCCTAGTTTTTCATACAAGTGCCTCCCACGTTCGTTGAATTCCACACATCCGAGGCTGATGCAGTGGATGTTTGCTCTTTGAAAAGCCCAATCAGCAGCCCAGTTGATTGCTTCTGCGCCGTAGCCCTTATCCCGATGCGCTGCTGCAATGCAAATGGTGAGAACTGCAAGGCGATGGTGATGGCGATAATTATCCCCAGCTTCGTCATTGAGTCCAAGTACGCCGATCGGTCGCGGCTTTCCGTTATCATCCGTTTCTGGCAAACAGATAATGACGCCTAACAGGGCGTTCTGCAGTTCGAGAAGCAACGCATCGTTGCGCTTCCTGGATTGTGGCCGTAGGACGTTGGAGTCTACAAAGGCGAAACCGACTGGGTCATTTTTGATTTGCTCGTGGAACCAAGTCTTTTCCTCGTCGCTGTCGTCGATGGCACGGAAAATGAGACGCTTTGAGCGGAAAGCATTGGCTAAACCGTCCTCCATGTCGCTAAAATTGGAAGTATACTGAGATGATGGTGGCTAGACGAACTGTCGCGTTGCGAATGTTCAAATACCCTCAGACTAACTTCGAGTGTCTCCCAACCGTCAAAAATTGCAAAACAGCGACCAACAATCCATTTTATACCAATCGTGATCTGCGAACTGTCGATGACCATATTGACTCAGTAACACGAAGAGTAATGCCAAGACTGGAGCTGAACCAGCCGGAACGCCCGACACCACACGGTAAGATTTTTCAATTGAGTCACACCGAAGGTGCATGTCGACTGCAGACAATACCGTATGCAGTTCTAGCTCTGTGCTCCAACAAAAGGTGCAATGTCTTTAAGTTTCGCATCTAGCCGAGGAGATGACGGCCGTACAATGTGTGCGGTTGTGCGTATATCGATCGTTAATCGTCAACTTCACGGTAGTCGGCCTTCCTCGTCGTAATTGACTATTATTTTACTATTAATTATAATTTTATAGAGCACATTATTTACGATCCTCACTGAGCGAGAATGTCCGCACCACGACTATGTTGTCTCCCCTTTCGCTCCCCAACGAGTTTTTGGAGGAGGCTTCGAACGTCAGTTCAGTTTCGCTCTCGTTGTCGCGCTTCCCCTGCGAACCCCAAGCACGAGAACGCTTACTAGAGGCAAACTTGTCCTGCTTGTTTCCTTCATGGTCACTGTTGCTTCCCAATTCATGAGCCTCGACGTCGTCTTTGGCCATGAAAGTAGTAAGACTAAAAGGACCGCGCCGTGGTCGGTTACTACTACTGTTGCTGGCGTTGAGCTTTCCGCCCATGGCTGATGGGGCGCCGCGCTCAGAGTCGTTGATGGAAGGGCCCATTGAGGTGAACCCGAGCGAGTGCACGACCATGCGGAACAGTGGACGGAGTGTTGCTAGACTGCCAGCGGTAATAGCTAGACCCTGCTCGGTGGTGGACCAGATTGCAATATCTACGGTTGCATCTGCGGGAGCGCGAGTCAGTGTCTTGACCAACCTTAATTTGATCGTGGGGTGGATAGTGGGACTTACATAGGAAGTCTTTGTTCTTAAAATCCTTGACGAACGGCATGCGGACAACGACTGCAGCGCTGGCACTATATCGAGCATGTTAGAATCGAGTTCCTTGATGAGGGTTTGTTTGGGGAGGTCCACGAACATGCAGGCCATGGCCATAATGGGAACCAGTGCAACTTTGGTCTTGCGATCCATCTTCAGCTTCCAAATGAGGATTATGGGGAGAATGGCAAAGGTAAAGTCGCAGATGACGCTGAAGGCGCTGTAAAGGTAGGTGAGGGCGATGATAACGTCCATCTCAACGCAGTGCCCTTTGATGCTCTTGTCCCAAAAGAAGGGGATTGGTAGGCATTGCAATAACGTGACAAAGAAAAACACGACGCCGGTGCAGACCGTGCAGAACATTACGGTGTAGATGATCCAGACATCGATTTTGCGAACTGTTATTCGGAGTAGGAACCAGCCGATGGAGATTTTGGAGCAAATCATCGAAAGACAATACCACAGGTAGCAGAACCACCAGTACTATTCACTGTCAGTTTTGCCGTATGATAAAGGTCAGTATACATATGCCTTACCTTCATTGCCATTGATTGATCAGCCGGGTCGAGGTCATAGTAATGTCGTCCAGTTCCATAATGAATACCAGCAATTGCGCATGCCACGAACAGGGAGAAGAAAACCTAATAATCTCGCCAGTCAGCCCGGTTCTCAGAGACTTTGCGTACCACGAGAGCTGCAATGGAAGTTATGTATGTCGTACCATTGCCCCAACCATACAGTAATCATCGAATCCAAAGTTCTTGACGAGGAAGATTCGTGCATAGCATCGGAGGATAATCGAAATGCCGGCCGTCGTGACGAGCGTCACCCCGACGGCGAACAGCTCTGGGCCACGGTTCTCAATCTCCTCCGCCATTAGAATCGAAAATAAGCACAACTCTATTAGACCGATACGATGGTGCTGGAATCGAAAAAAATGGTTGAATGAGCGAGTCGTGTCCAACGAGTGGCTTGGCTGAGAAGAGCCGCAGAAATCCGGGCGGTTCGTTCTACTAGGTCTCCATTTCGAGAGGGACTGGACGAGAAGAGAGATGGAGGGACCTGTTGAAGATATGGCCCCCCCCATATTAGGCGTGGCAACATGAAATTGAGTACCGCAGTGCGTTTGCGGGTGCGAGTAGTCTGGCCTAGCCCTGCTGCCCGCCCTGTCATTCCTGTTAGCCATGCCGTGAGCAATACTAGCAGGCGTAGGGAGTATGGCTACCCCTGACCATCACACGCAGGTGTGTGCAGACCTGCATCATGCAGCAGGTACAATCCTTGGCAGGCTCCATTTGCCCTTGAGCAGACCTATGCCTTATTGGAGTCAGATCTTCATTGTTGGGCTGCTGTGGTGAAAGCGGGATATGAATCCTTCTGGGCCCCTTCTGTGTGACTTTGGGGCCGCGGCTGTCAGCAAATGTCGGCATATGGGTCGAACCACATATCGGGTATTGTAGCATCCCACCACCAGCTGATTTGGTCTTAGTAGCTGAACTTAGTGTCCGGTCAATAGGCCTTGTTTGGTTACTCTCCGAACGACCCACCGCCTGGAACCCCCTTCCCCGCATTAGTCCTGAAAATTGAACCTCGGGGGTTCGGTCGAGGGGTTCAACATGCTCAAAGTTGGATCCCACGATAGGGTCACAATGGGTCACCTCCTCAAACACAAGAATTTTTCCGATCCTTTTTTTACTGTTTGCTTGCCAGCTTCCCACGAGGTTAATGACAGGGAATAAGATCCATTGCCACAAGTCGATGAGAGATTTTGATATATGGGGTTGATTTGGGGGCCAATCTCACTGTCAATCGACCGCATGCGGGTAAGTGTCTTGCCTTTTGCGTGTGCATAGTGTTGCAATGACCCAACGTTGACGATATCATTTGTTTTCTGTAGGGGTTTCGATGCTAAAATCGGGTAAGAGGAGTTTTCTTGATAAGTCGTATTGGGGCAAAAGCGAAAAGGTTTCAACAACGCTTCCATAAGCCCTTGAGGGGGGGGTTCATCACGAATGGTCCCTTATAGCTGAACAACCCACGCGTGTCACACAGACATTTAGGCGAAAATCTCACTATCGTGGTGCCACATGTCGTTGCAAACATGCCAAATAGGAAACTCCAACTACCCTATAAGGGACCCCATTGAGGTTAAACATCCAGCCTTTTGTTCTCCAGTCGCCTGTCAAACTTGCGCCACCCACATAATCTGTCAGACTACAGAACAGCAACTATCTACTAAAGTAGTAAGCAGCACGCCAGCGGATGGAGACAAAACTGCTTGCGCACGGTTGTTGCTAACGCAGACCCAGTAATAAGACTGCACTGGAAAATCTTGCTTGGTGCGGACGTTATATCTGCTGGCAGGCAACAGAATATGAACCAGGGCAACGATAAGCTAAGGGGAACTGTTGAGGAGTGAGGAGTTCATGACGTTTAGTAAGATGGAACTCATGGGGAAGAACCAGAAAAAAGTGAATACCGACTACTCTCGAATCAGCAACTGATTGTCTCATCACTTCTCCACTCTTCGTTGCGGTGTATTGCAGTTCCATTTAGGGAAATCCGTCCGAACCTAGCCCATCAGCCTGTCATATCCGCCAAATTTTGTACAGGAATCAAACTTCTAATAAGATGAGATGCACAGTTAAACCTTCTCGAGCTTTTCACAAAACAGTCCTGGTAGTGCTGTGTTGCCGTTGGGCCGTCAGCTTGGTAAGACACCATGAGAAGCATTCGACTTAAAAAATTCCTGAGTGACATACCGTCTCAGTGCTGAAGAATGTCTTAGCGTACGGATTGGGAATAAATGTTTAGGTCTATGTTGAAAAAGAATCTATGGCCCAGGCCCGATCTTCGGAGCGGCCGCCGCTTCATTGGCGCCAAGGTTTCAACACAAAGAAAGACGTTCACTTTTCTCAGTACGTAAGGGCATCTTATTATCACGATTATTACTGTCAGTCAACTCCCTACGCACCAAATTCCCCCCCATGCCGCCGGAATTCATCGGACAAATACCCAACATCGCGGGTTCCCTCTGTCCGTTCCCACTTGCAGCTATGATTGCGTCAGACGTCCCCCTGTTCATGAGTACGAGCAGCGAACGGCTCTCACGGATGCATGCTTGCTGGTCCCAATTAAACCAACACTGCCTGCCTGTGCGCAGTGTCATTTGAGGGTAGCCCCCCTTTGCCTCCTAGTGGAGCAGGGCGACAGGAACCCCCCTGTATCGGATCTTCCAGCAGCAGCACCCCCTCCTACTGTTAAACCCGGACCTAGCATAGTTTCCATAAAGCAGAAATTCAGCTCGCGAATCGAAAGTCCAGCCTCTTGCTACCCTTGTCCGTGGTTGTGTCCATGTATCGTTGACGCTCCTCTGGTGACATGGCCTCCCAGATCCGGTCTCGCTGTTTGTTCCTCCATACATAATAGAGCTTAGCGCTCACGTAGATCGCGATGTTGAGACTGGCAATCCCGACCAGCACCCTGTTACCGCGGCGATATTCCGGACGGTCGTCTCGTCGGTAGATGTTAGCGCTAATGATGGACTGAAGCTGAACCGACATGTTGTAGAGAGCGGCCGACACCGTCCTCGTTCTGACAGTGTTGGAGTTCCTGCTTGCCCAACCCACTTGCCTTGAAGGAATAATTAACCTCCATAAATACTTTAGTGGATGTGCGGCACTTACATCGGATGAGGGGAAGGATAAGACAATAGGACGGTAACCAAGGCGTACGAAGCCCATCTGCTTATGTCGGACGGTATTACTGCAAGGGCAATTACACAGGGAAGTAGCCAAAGTTCGACAAAAATGCCTAGTAATGCTCGCTGGTTGATTCTTTCCGAGATCCATGTCAAAAGCAGCATCTGATTTACCAGAAGTCAGCACAATGCAATGCAGATCAGGATAGGACTGCGTACATTGATGGTTGTGGCAACTTGGCAAGGAATGCTAAGCAGGTTGGTATCAAAAGTGTCGAACCCTAGTTGTCTTAGGGTGAGAGTGAGATACTGGTCGGGGGGGCCGGCGGGAATCGAGAAGGTGAGGCCGATCGCATAGATGGGCCACAAGTCGAAGTCACAAAGCGACGCCCAAAGCATTTTCAAGGTGATAGCTTGGCGGTTGTGCATATCGCTTTTCGAGGGGTCATCTCGCAGGATTCTATTGACCATGATTTTCTCCTCATGCTCGGTAAACCAACCGTTAGGCCGCCATGGTGCTTTTGTCTGAGTAGGAGATGGCACCATGGCAAAATCAGACCATATGCCAATGACTAATGTTAGTATTCCCTCCAAAAGAAATAGCCTGTTGCCGGTCAAAAACTGTAGAATCAAAGGGGAAATGTAACTAACTTACCATCGCCATCCTTCGTAACCTTGGTAGCCTCGAAGTCGGAGAAGTCCATAGGCCAGTAGTGGTGCAATGACATCGGTGAGTCGATTCGCCATCCAGAACAGTGCTAGGCGAAAGGGAAGCTCGGTGCCTTTGAAGAAGTACGACATGTACTGAGATAGAGACGCGACGGTTAGAATTGAAAACGGAAACAGTAAAAGATCGTATGGGGAGCGTACCAGGATGACGTCGGGGATAAACCCTCCTTGAAGCATGCCAATCAAGGCGCGGGTTGCAAGGAACGAAGATCTACCATTGAGCCAGAATTGAGAGGCGCTGACAAGACTCCAAAGAATCATTTGCGCAGGAATCCAACGATCGCTAGTCTTTGATATCAGCAGAACATCTAGTCGGTAATTTTTCTTGGGATAACACTCACGGTCCAATCTTCTTACTTATTAACTGACTGGGTAGCTCGGCCAAGAGAAAAGTAACTCGAAATACTGTCTGACCAAGGTTGTAGTCATTTGTGTCCAACCCCAAGTCGTCCAAGAAATTGTCCGAGTTGGCCTGGCTGATGTTGGATCGGTCAAGATCAAGAGCGAAGAATGCAATACAAGACCAAGCTGTTACTTTCCAATCAATTCTCTTGACTAAAGGGATCTCTTCTGCCCAGGTCCAGCGGAAGTTGGGATCGAAACGATGTCGGTTCTCATACTTCTCAGATGGTTGAAAGTAAATTGCCAAGTCGGGGTCATCAAAGACAGAAGGCTGGGTAGCTATGTCATCTGGTTTGTGGGAGTTCTTCTGACGACGCCACAAACTGGCTAAATTTGAGTTTAGACGTTCAGAAGCTCGCGTCTCTGCTTGCTCTTCAAAGACACGTTGCCGAACCTCTTGAGTTGTCTCATAATCTAATGGAAGAACCGATTTTTCATCCACATTATGAGTGTTATAGTCGTGTGCAGACTTTGTGGATGACGTCGATGTATTGTTCACGTTGGCCATTGGAGTCACTGTGCGCAACGAAAGCAGTGCTGATATTTGAGCTTCACAAAAGCATGGCTGCATCTCTTTTGCATGCCGACCGCACAATTTATATCACCTTCATCTCTGAGGACGTCATGTATCTACGTGTCATTGTCGACACCGTCCTGGAGTGACCCTGCACTCCTCTGCACTCCGTTGACCATTTCCATACCTGTCGACTTGCGATATAATGCAGACATATTATGCCATCGCACCGTTTTTGAGATATGAGTTGTGGTTGGCCACCAAATGCCTGTAACAGATCTTGGCGAATGGCATAATAGCAGCTAAGGATCACTGTCAAGGAATGCCAAACGGCCTTCTCGCATTAAGTGGCATTTCTGCAACGATCTTAAAACTCAACGCAGTCGCCAAAGTCGCCAACAAATCATCTACCGAGGAACTGTCATCACAATCTCAAGGTCGCAAGCGACAATAGTGATGGCCCGTCGTGATCGTCAAGCTCAGTCCAGAGATGCAGGTTTATGCAGATAGCATTGAGTATGGCGCCCTCTCACCAATAAATAATAAGAACTCCAGGCTAGCTTGCTGATAACAGTGCCAAGAACGCATGTAAATGTTGATGGTGACATTGTGCGGGGATATGGCAAAACATCTTTCTCCGCAGCAGATGGCAGTAGATGCTTGATACTACGGATCACCCTCACACTGGCGTTAATGGCACAGGGACCTAAATTTCAATTCGAATGGGGATTTGTCATTATGAATTCTTGTCATAATTCTGGCCTGTGATAACAAGTAGGATGAGCCAGATGTATGTTAACTTGGCAGGGCTTCGTAGACATTGATGACGCTGTGATGAATTATGTCAGACAACATGCCTGTATAATAAGAATTGTATGCGTGGATTAGAAAATTCAATTTGCCAAGAAATCTTCCCGAGCTTTAGTTTCATGGACTGTCCTGTTCCTCTGTTTTTGTGGAATCAGGAATGGGAGGAATTTGTGAATCATAATCTCATTCAGTAACATATGGTTTCTACCTATGTTACCAGGCACTGACTGATATCTCACGAGTGGCAAGTGATCGTTGAGGTACTGAGCCAGCGCATAATTGCGCATTCTCGAAAGTGGCTAATAACGTGGTGTTAGAAGAGGATGTTACCTTAGCCATGACTTTCTTTGTGAGGGAAAAGGCCAAGAATCCAACAAGGGTTTGTTTTACCTAAGCAGACAAGATATGGAAATAGCAAAAAACATGGAATCGTCGAGGTTACTAGGTCGGCATGTAAGCAGCCACATCGGCACGGCATTAATTTCAAGAAAATGTTGCAAGTTTGTATGTGATCCCGGCTAGGATGGATAACGTCGAGGTAGAAACGATCTCAAACCCACGTACCCTACAGCATGACTTACAATGTCTGCCTAGTTGCATATTTTAATAGTACCTGATCACCAATATGTTCGCCTCTTTGGACATATTATAATAGATTTTTACATGGCTGAAGGTTTCCTTTTTGTATAACATCTCTGTAGCTCTTATAGTTCGATTAAAAACACTAAAAAATGAGTGGCTGTCTATGAACACACGCGTAATGTAAAGGCGGTGTCGTATGCATGTTCCAACAAATGCTATCAGCTGTCACTTGGGCACAACAACTAAACATGCAGAATGCTAACCGCTGAGGTTGTTGTCCTCTTCTATCTGCAGCAGGTGTGCTAGGGCCCAATCTTGGTCATTGGCGTACGGATCCTTGTAGTGTCCAGCTCGTCCGTTAACCGACGTGGGGTAAATCCAAGCACAGGAACCCCTACCTTCGGGAGTAAAGAGAGCCATGTTCGCCCGGATGATACCATCCGCCTGCCTCTCGAACGTAGGGTCGCCGGTCACCTTACTGTAATGGTGCAACGCGATAGCATTCAGCGTGCTCCAGTAATGGGGGAAAGTGTCACCCCACATGCGATCTTTTCCGAACCAGTGACCATCCCAATGCCGAATGGCAACATCGTGAACCCGGTAGTCGGGCTGTTTTCCGGCGAAGCGAAGGAGGACTTCAACTTGTGACTTTGCTGCCTCAAACCAAGTCTTGTCACCAGTGAATCGGTACAGCTCAATTAAGATGATGGCTGCAGGAGCCACGATGGACTGCTCAAAATTAACCTCAAAAGGAGGATAATTTGTACCTCGTTCAAGAATGTTCTCGCCATGCTTAACGAATAAGGCCTTTGCCCGTTCAAATGACTTCTTGTCACCAGACGATTCAAGAGTCCGAAGGCCCTCAAGGATAGGCAGACCAATAGCATAAAGTGATGCCCCGCCTTCAGCGTAGAAGCTCTCTAGAGTCAACATGAACCTTTCGAGCGGAGTTTTGCCAGACAGCGCGGGAACGCCGATGGATGAAGCCACCAAATGAAGTTGGAGAACCCAAGGCCAGTTATAAAGGCGTTTCCGACTACTGGTACCAGTTCCAACGGGTGCGTCATACACCCACCCATCTTTGCCCTGAAGCTTCGTGCAGACGAAGGAGTAGTAGGCTGAAAAGGACTCTTGCAAGCTACTGCTCGGGTTCTTTTTCAGCCATCTTCCAATGAGAACGCCCATACCAACACGCTCACGGCCCGCGTTACGATCCTGTTGCGTTTCATAAAAGGGCGGCGCTTCTGCTTGGTTGTCGTAGACGATGTAAGCGCCGTGGAGAAAGTCAGAAGGGTTTGTGACTTGTTGCTTGTCAACGATGAATTGTATTCGACTCTTGATTAGCTCGTCGTACTGTGGGACGGTGTTGAGAAAGACGAGGGATTCTCGGAGGTCGCTCCCCGTGCCGGTCGAAATGCGTAACGTCTTCTCGCCGAACTGCTCTGCATCATGAACATAACTGAACCCTTCGCTAAGCCGCCGAACCGGTTTTCCATTGACTTTGGTCGTCGAGTTGACGGCTTCAGGGCTGCCTCTCATTCGAATTGCTATACTTTCGCCGCTGACAAGGGTGTGTTTTGGGATGCTGAAGTGAATGAACTGACTGGAGCGGCGAGCACATTGTGAAAAGAAGTCGTTCCAGCCGGTGTGCCAGAAAAAGGTCCATTCAATGATGCTAGAGTCGCCGGGTTCAAGTATCGGGATCGACGGATGAAGAAGAAAAACGCCACGAGTATTTGAATGAGTAACCTCATCTCGGGACTCGATACTGTACCCCGATAATGAGCCCTTGGTCAGAACCAGGCCCAAATCACGGCCATGACCCCCCATTTGGCTCAGTTTCACCCATGATGAACTCCCGCCGTGCGCCCATACGTGGGCATGTGTCCGTGCTTGCAGAGCATCTGTCGTGTTGGTGTAATGATCGTTGAAAGGCGTATATATTGCTAAGGACGTCACTCCCTTCGCGGCCAGGTTCAAAGGTGAGGTTCCCCTGTTGGTAAACTCGTATGTCTCTGTGAAGGACCTAGTATGACTGTCAAGACGGCGGTTAACGCGGAGATCAAGCGGGCCGTAACAATATTCGGCCAGTGTAGCATCATGGCCGTTAGATGACTCGATGTGTGGATTGTTCCAGTGGACGCGATGGAGCAGATTGGGACCGAGGTCCGCGAACCCAAGACCCCAGCGGCTTCCCAGAGGCTGCCATGGGGCGTTTGCTGGAGAGCTGATCCAGTTGAGTGGATTATCTGAGGCAGGGTCCACAATCTCCAGGATGGCCCCGCTGGTTCTGTCGATGTGGACTGTAAAGTCACTGTTTAAAAGATCTATTGTTCGAACCATTTCTGATAGCTTCGAATGGGTGCGCAAAATAACAGGCAACGCCTTGCCGTGGTTAAACGAGAAGAATGAAAAATTGATGCTGAAGAGGACCTGTAACCATGTGACCGACAGAAAAAAATGATGAGACATCAAAATATGAGACGACTCGTGCATGCATCCGGTAAGACTCCGGTTGAATTCGGCGAGTGATGCCTGTACTACAGCTACAGAGGCTCAGGGGACAACCTTTAGGTAGCTATAGGAGGGGCGTGACTCGCTCTAGGGCGACCCCTCCAGTCCCAACACCGAAAGCCGCTTGGCTCGTACCTTACAAACTTCAATGATTCATGAGATTGACGTCCGAAGTCTCAACACCGGTGGGATGATATCCACACCTGGAACTTGAGACGGTTTTAGAGGCTTATGAGATTACCGAAACCGATGAATATAATCTTCGTCTCTTCATTGTCATGAAGTATGCATATTGTTGACCCGCCCCTGCACATCGCGACCAAGCATTCAGTAAAACCTCATGCTCTCATTGGACTCCCACACGGGTGGGAGAATCTTGAAAGCCATTCACAGCCGAATACACTTTAAGCTGATACAACGTCGAGATGAATGACTAGATGAACCTCATGGGTCCTGGAGAAGATACGATGAAAATGCAACAGGCCCATCATTTTGGTATCATAATCGTTGAACGAAGATACACTGGCTATGGAATCTGGTCCGAGTGCATCGTATTCTAAAACCAGGGACTTCTGAGTGGCTCCCAGAGAAATAATATTAAAGCCGATGATCGTCTTGCTTCGTAGCCAAAGAAAACCAGACTCATCTCATTATCGCTTCCTCATCTGATTCGGAATATCTATCAACTAAATCACTGCACTCACTTTCCTCAAAATGCATTTCTCTAACGCCTTTATTGTCTCTTGCGCCATGGCCCTGGCCAGCTTCAGCGTTGGCGTCCACGCGAGGTGTGGTCCACGCAACGGTCTCTGCAGTGGCGACTTGAGCTTCCGATGCTTCGACGTCAAGGCAAATACACCAGTGTGCTGCGATACCATCGACTGCATTGAGTGAGATGCTATTGCCAAGAAGCCAAACATCTGATGTATGTATCAAGCAAACTTTGGATGAGATTTTGCTTAACACAGCTAGGTGCTTTATTTCAACTACCTACGGACGCTTGAAGCGTCTTGTGTTCATAGCTCATCAATAAAAACCTTGTGGATTCCTTGGACTTTCTTATTCTGTGACTAGTGGCCATTCGGAATATGTCGAGATATATACATCTTCAGCACCTTTGCCACTCCAGGATGTCTTGGACTAAGCAGAGTACTCATAGGCCTGCAAAGATGGTGTTAGCAAGATAGCAAGCAAAATTTGAAGAATGTAGCAGAGATCACATACCAGATCATGCCATGCAACGCCGGCATATTCAGATTGGCTCTTGCCGTAATGCGTAAAGCCAAGCTTTTGATAGTAGGGCACAAGTCTGTCGTACGTGAGAATGGATATCCTCTCGGCTTGCCCATTCTGCTTCATGTACTCGATGTAAGACCCCATCAGCTTTTTGCCGAAGCCAGATCTTTGGTAGGACGGTGATACGGCCAGCGAGTGCAAAGCAATAGTCTTTCCGTCGGCTATATGACCAACGTCGTGCTGAGCAGTAGGGTCTGTCTTCCAAGTGGGCGGGAAAGACATGTCTTCATCCCTCACGACTCGGGAGGGTGACTTGGTGGAGATGACATGTGCAATAAGTTTGTCTTTAGCAGAACTGGGAGGGGCAGTATCCAGCACCGGTATTTCCCCTTCGAGTTTGACATCCGCATTGGTTGCAGTTTGCTCGGGAACAAAGAGACCAAGGCAGAGTTCAGGGCAGACACTAAGCCGATACTCAATCTATCAGAGGTTGAGTTAGAGATGTTGGCCACGGTGGAATACGTAAGGGGCGGCAGTGAGATTGTTACAACAAGGAAGCCACAGGAAGAGAAAGCGTCAATGTAAGTATAACTGCAAGCGTGGCTCGAGATGGCGTTGAGTCTAATCAGAGAAACAAGATAATTGCGATTCACACACCTTTTCTCGAGTTGCTGCCTCCGCTGGTGGGAACGCTGCTGTTTCAACAGCGAGGCACCGGTCGAGGTCCGCAATTGACAATGGTCGAATGTACGCCGCCATCATATAGGTGATGCTTGCAATATCTTGTTGAAGGAGTTTCTGAGTCGGATCTGAATCTTGCGGTAGCTGAGTTTTTAATTGCAGCCGAAATGGGGCCAATTGAGTTGGAAGGGAGCAAATGACATCTGACGCATCTCCTGGAAGAAAGGCGCGGAGCCCTGAGGGGTCCACCACAACCCCACACTGCGCTATCATTCAGGGCGCATCTGGGCACCAATCAGCACGTTGGGAAGCGAGTCAAGTGGCTTTAGAGTGGCTTGTTTAGTGAGGGGTAACCTTCACTTGGAGGAAGTAGAGGAGCCCAGAATACGCTGACAGCTCATGATCGTCTTAGAGTAACTGTCCTGTTGAAGACAAACTTGCCGAAGTAGACGATAAACGACCAATAACGCTTGGCCAAGAAGTCATCACATGTACGGATATTCAACAGCTATGCTCCCACGGTCATGTGCCTGGATGAGAGGCAAGGCAGGAATCAATGTGAATATATCTCTCATGAAAACTGAGAGAAATCTAATGAGTCTAGTCAAAATCTACAGACCTGTTCTAATGCTAAAATGATATGCTACACTATTCTTGCCTTGTTGAGCAATATGTCCTCTATAACTTGCTGCGCAAGTTCTTCCTCTCGTCCTTCTTGAACAGAACCTTGCTGTTGGGATAAGGGTCAAAAGTCACGCTGTTCAACGGGTTATCCTCGCTCGCTCGCTTGAACATGTCTTCGTAGACTTTGCCGTCGAAGCGGCCCAGACTGGAATCAAGCACCCAGTCATCAAACTTCCATGAGTCCACCAACCTCACCGCGTGGGGCCTGATCTCCTCCAACAATGTCATCACGGCCTTGGTCCTCGCCAGAGTGATCTGGCGCACCGTGACTGCCGCAGAGCTGTAGAACTCACTGGCCTCACGCTCGAGGGTGGTCAAGGCGTACAGTCTGAAGAGCTTGTGCAGCAAGCCGACGGTGTCCTTGTCAAGCTGCTCCGTCGTAGCCTTGTCGTTGAGCGCCTGGTGGAAGTTCTTGACCACCATGTACTGCGCATGCGCGGTGCTCAGGCGCCAGAAATCGACAAGCAGGCTGTTCCAAGACTGCTTGTCCTCGTCTCTGTGACGGAGAGCCTCGAACGTCAGGAAAGAAACACGCCAAGCAAACGCCGCGACGAGATCGTCATCGGATCCAAGCACGTCAAACGCAGCACCGATGTCGCGACGGCGGAGGAACTCGGACAGGATTCTGGTCGTGTCGTTGTTGCCGGCCTTGCCCTTCAAAACGGCACGGGCAGACTTGAGCAAATAACGAGACACCTGCTGGGTAAGCATGTAGTTATCGCCCTCCCATGTCAAGGTTGGCAGATAGTCGGCGTACCAGGAGCCGATTCCGCTGAACGAAGAGTAACCGTGGCCTCCGCAAGCACGTCGACAAACCTCAAGGCCCTCGCCAGCGACGGTTGAGCCATAAGCCTTCAGTGCACAGGATGTGGCGTGCAAATCAGCCAGCAAGTCGGTACCAGGGTTCAACTCCTCAGGTCCGGGGTTGCGGTTCGCATCACTGAGCTTGCCCGCGTTTGCCTTTGTCCGCTTCTGGTTCTCGTTGTACAGGTTGATCATACCGCGACCCGTGAAATGGAGGGCAAAGGTTGCCGCGAGCAAAGGCAGAAGTCGGATCTGCACCATGGTGTAGTTGAGCACTTGGTTCTCGCCAGGCTCATTGGCAGGCGCATCTCGGTCTTGGAACTGCCGACGCACCGCGCAGTATCGGGTTGCGATGGTGACACCCTTGGCGAGAACAGATCCTGCCTGGAGAACGATGTTTGAACGCACCCAAGTGAGAGTGCCGTAGACCAGAGAGGGGTTCGCGGGGCGACTGTATTTTCCTGTTTGCGGGTCGACGGATGAGAATCGGGCAAGCATGTGGTTGTGAGGAATCTTGACGTTGTTCAACAGCAAGAAGCCGTTGTCCATGGTGTTGTAACCAAACTTGGGGCCGATATCGCCTACGTGCACGTTGGGGAGCGGCTCGTGAGTCTGCTTGTCCCGGATCGGCACGACGAATGGATGAGGACCCAGCGCCTTGCCGTTGATGATGAGTTGGGCCATAACAACGGCGTGGGTGGCCATCTTGCCCAGGGAACCGATCCACCACTTCGACGCTGTCAAATGAGGCGAATGCATAACAAAGGTCTTATCTGAGGAATCCCATGTGGCGGTCGTCTCGAGACCTCGAACGTTGGAGCCATGGCCGAGCTCGGTTTGGGCGTAGCAACCGATAATTTCGTAATTCTCAGCAGGCTCGAGGAAGATCTTGTGCTGCTCCGGTGTACCTTGTTCCCGGAGTGTGACCAGGAACATACTGGCATGGAGGCCATATGGTGTCGGCTCACTAATGAGGTCATTCGCAACCTGGTATTCTTGCTGAGACCAGTTGTGCTCCTTGTTCAGTTGGAACAATCTCTTTCCTCTTGCCAACGCAGCCTCGATCCGGCCCTCGCGACCGCGGAAGTAGTTTTGTGTTTTATCAAAAACGGGCTCAGCCTTGAGAATGTTCAGTATCCTGTCATTGCGTTCAAGAGCCTCGTCTGTGAACATAAAGGTCGCAAGCTGGTCGACATTGAGATTGGATTTTGCCCTCTCCTGGGCGAGGAGCTCTGTTCCCTGAGGCCCAGATGGCTGGAGCTTCTTAACCCAATCCGGGGTAGTCGGCATCTTGACTGATTGATTAATTGATTGCGGAGGTGGAGCTCTGGAAAGAAGGAGAACAAGAATTTTCCGGGGGAATTGGATGTTTGTTGAATGGCACAAAATGCGATTTTGTAGAAACTCTCATCCTCGGCCGTTTCGGCTACTTTCAAAGCCTAAATGTCATCAGGGGCACCTGTCCGTCTCTCGGAGCGCTCCCATGACGCGCGCATAGGTGACGGTGCCTCGGCTGTTACCTCTTTGAGTTAGACGAAACTTGTGTCTGGACACGTAAACCGCCATTTTATCTGGGGATTCACTAAAAGTGACCCGCTAAATCTTTGGTCAAAGTCCCCCGATCATCGGACTTGCTCGGGACATCGCTACGAGCCGAGGTTTTGGTACCGTGTTTAACGCATCTACCGAGCGCTCGAGTCAAGCACTGCCCGCTGAAGAGACCAGTAATGATGGGCCGTGGGCATGGCTGTCACTGGCCATTGCTGTTCGAGACCTTGTCGTCTCTGCAGTACGGTATCCAGCCACTCCCAAGAGTCTAAATATTAGCTCACACACCCTGTTCATGAAAGTGGCAAACAGCCTCATATCCAGCTGCGCACCTAATACTTTGTCTTTATAATTACTGGTTGTTTGCATTACAGAGTCGTCTTTGTTGCCATTGAGCATTAAATGATATAAGCTGGCAGCCTCTCACCTTATAACGAAGCAACAGGTGTTCTATCAACTGCTACTAAGCCAAGGCTATATTTGCATTGGAAACTATCACTCATGGGATAGTCGAGCTCAAGCAGCTCTGATCCTCAGATACCCCACTTTATATTCAATGGGTCTCTTGCAAGGTAGCAGCTACAATTCGAATCACATGCTGCAACTTAGTTGTGTTTCTTCCAGAGCCCACGAACCATTGTGTAGGTGCATTTGACTATGAAAAGCTGATTGATCGAATTATGACTCAACTGCAGTCGATATCGGAATCGAGCTCTGCGACGTAGTCAAGAAGTTAATCGTCTTTTGGATAAGCGGCATTGAAACCATCCCTCTTCTTACCCAGCACATCGATTAAAGCCCTTGTTCGCGTGCTCTCCGGAATCAAGCGTAGCAAGGTATACTGCAACTCATGGAGCCAGTATGGCCGCATTTCCCGCCATCCTCTAGCAATGGCCCCATCGGTCCTCTCCACAATTAATCTGCCAAAGGTGTCGGAGTCCGGGGCCCCTTTGGTAGATTGAATACAATTGCCTTGGCTCCTCACATCCCCAGGTACAACGCACAAGGAGTCCACGTGCGAAGTTTCCTTGCTAGCCTCCAATTCTCTGGCTAGAGAGATACTGAAGGCCCAGTTAAAAGCTTTAGTTGCACAGTACATGACCAGCCATGGACTACCAATCATCCCACCCGAGCTGATGTTTAATATCAGCGAGCGTTGTCGTAGCCTTGGTTGCTTGGACGTGCCGCCTGTGTTGCAAAGGATCGGTAACATCAAGCTGGTCAGACGTGCCATGAACCTCGCGTTCAAATCAATGACCCCATCAATGTCTTCGTTGGAATAGGTTGACAAGGCGCGGAAAGGTGGACGAGCGACGGGGTTGGACCCCACGTTGTTGACGAGAATGGATACCTGCAACCCGGCATTTTCAATGGTGTTTTTGATGGTGGTCCGAATGTCTTCCATTGTAGCGGTCTGTGCATCCATGACGATAGTCTTGACAGGAATGTTCTCATCCATTGACTGAAGCTCCGAAGCGGCTTGAGTAACCTCTTCCGCCAGATGCCCAAGAAGGATGACACCAAATCCGTGCCTCACAAGTGTCTTTGCGATGCCATAGCCGATGCCAGCGCTAGCACCAGTCACGAGTGCGTAGGTGGGCTTAGGGCCTTTGCGTTTGTACGCAATTAAAGGAGAAGATGGAGTGTGAAAGTGAAATATAATCTGATCGACGAGTTGCACTGCAAAAAACAAAACAATCGTGAGACCAATCATGGCTAGAAGCCAGAGCCAAACAGGGATGCCCATCTGCAGTAGAAATTTCATGATATCGTGAGTTTTTCCCGATAACAATGCTGAAAAATTATGATGCAATACCGGATGAGGATGTTGAATCACGCCTGTCTGTTTAATGAACTGAATACGTGAGGAACGGCACCTTGGAAGAGGGGAAATCGATGTCAATTTTACGGCGCTAATAGATCTGCATATGCAAGGGAGAACAACAACCCACACGTGTGCACGTGATGTCAGCATCGAAAGGACCAACGGAAGTTCTCATAGGAGCTTGAGATACCACTTGGCTAAAAAAGGTCCAGAAACGAGGGATCTTACAGGGGTCGCCGATGTTCCCATTCAGCTGCCATTTCCCCCTTGGCGCCGGCTTGATGGATACTCGCGCGCTGTCAGCAAGTAGACTAGCCACGATTCGACTTGGCTACGGATTTACAAAACTTTCTCAGTTACATTTGTAATATTTACCAAGAATTCGTTTGCTCTTCGCCTACGTAGTAGACTTTTCAGAGCATAAATGCGTTCATATTTCCATGTAACTGGCGAGGAGGGCGACTTGATTATTAATTTTTCCGGGCGTTCACGATAATGGAGCTACCCGATACTTGATGGGAGGTTAGGGAAGGAATCTTCATGTCTGGGAAGACGACCAGCTTTAAAAGTTTAACAGACCAAATGAGGCATTAATATTTTCCTACGCCTGACGCATCCCACGCCAATCACCGCCTTTTTAAAGCTGTTTGATCGTGTGTGCGATAACAAAAGGAAGATAATATTGTGGTCATTCGGCATGTGGCAGTTTGATAGCTCTCCTCCCGAGGAGTTGTCAACCTGATAGAGCTAGTGGGGGAAACGAAAGATTTTTGTTCGCTATCTGCTTGTTTTTAGAAATTTTTCGGCGAAAACCTAATAGTGGACGATTGCTAGGGGGTCGCGGAAAAGGCAGGCGCCCCTGAAAAGTAGGTTGGTGATGTAGAAGGCTGGGCATTGATCTCGATGTTAGAGGTAGCCTCATTGAGATTGCCTACGCAACTCTAATAGAGATTCTGAACTCTCTATGAAAGTAGGGAAGTATAAACAGAACAATAGGTGTCCTGCATTCCACAATAGTCAGTCCGAGAACACAATTATCGTTGTTGTGGTGGTCCCCTTGAATTTTTGGGGTACGATCTTGATGATGAAAAGCAAGCCTTCAAAACAAAGGCTGTGCGCTGCTCAGCTGTAAGATCACTTTTGCCGCTATTTCTTTCCCTGCATTTTGCATAGAATCAAGGGCTTAGTATGAAGTTTGTTGGTTATTACAGTATGTGGTTGGTCACAAGCATTCGATTCATGTGGGCGAGAACCGGCACAGAACGCTCAGAATGGGAAAAGTGGTGTTGTTGGTTGGAAGAACTAACTAACTGGCTAGAGGGCTGTGGAGGCTGGCTAAGACCAGTGGTGGCGGCCGTCAGCCCACGTGACGGGCCGGCGAGGCCTGCCACCCACACCCCCTCTCAGACTCCTTAGCGAAAAAGAATAATAGGAAAATACAGGAAAAGTCCTAATTCCTCTAAATCCGAGGAGTTCTTAACTATTAGAAAACTTAGTTAATTACCGGTTAGACCTAGCTAATAGGAGGCTATAAAATCCTCTAAATCCCGAAGTCTTAATATTAATAGTCTTATAGTCTCAAAACCCCCTCTTAATCCAATCCCTCCGCCATGCCCAACAAACTAACGAATTCCTTGTGTTTAACCGTAACTAGTAGCTTCGTAAGTCTATCGGCGGCTATATTAGCGCCTTTGATAAGTCGGAGTTCGATGCTTTTCGTAGTATAAACCTCCTATATAATCTATTTATATTAGACGTCGATATAGCGGGTTCGTACCTTGTTAAGTAGGTTTATAACGTTATTATAGCCGTTAGTATTATTAGTAAATATAATAGTAGGCATAGTAATAGGTTTGCTAAGTAGTTAGGAAAGGCAACGTCTAATCTACTTTATAATAATTATTATAAGTATAAGATTAATAAATTTAGCCTTTATAGTATTTAAAGTTACGAAAGTCTATTTCTTTGACTTCTAAGTAATTAGTATATTAATAAGGAAGACGATATAACTACTTATTAAGACTTATAATAGCTTATTATTAGCGAAAAAGGTATTTATAATAGCGTAAAGCCTTAACTTATTAATTATAAAGATGCTTCTAAGTATAATACTAAGATAAATAGTATTTTAAAATATCGAAATAATACTTAATAGTATAAAGATAAGCCTTAGAAGGCTTTAAACTTACTTATAATAATTTATTAATAATATAAGCTGTTGGAATAACGATAATCACATGACCGTACGACAAGGCTGTCACAGGCAAAGGGGTGTATAGGTGGCATGACTAGCACCTGTAACACCTAAATGTCTGAGGAAGGGATCATGGTTTATTACCTGTCATGCACGACTCGTGTCTAGGTATGGACAGAGATATATCTGTTCGTACGGAAGGCAACATCTAGTTAGGAAAGGTAATCACGGAAAATAGAATCTTTGGTTCACCCTACATTTATGACAGTACGATCGTACAGAGAGCCCATTCAACACTGATCAGTGATTGCTTGGCAGTCACGAGTGATTGCATCGTGCGATCACAGATTAGCAAGAGTGAAGAGACAAGATCGAGGTTTTACGGCCGGGCTACCGGGTAGTCTCGTACGCAAGTACGAGGCGAGAAATTCGAAAGAATACCTAAGGGGTCACGCTAGGAAATCTCTTGTGCTAAGAGCCTTAGCCTAGTTGTTGTCGCTGCGGTGAGTCGTAACCGGACAACTAGCCTGAGAAGACGGTTTGTTATAATATCGTACGAGACAGATTCTTGTTGTCGCTGCGGTGAGTCGTAACCGGACAAGAATCCTATCGTGCAATACTTTAGCAAATAGTGTGCGCAACGGCATATTTCAACAACCATCCAACTAGATACCGTACGATACGAAACGGTTGCCAACATGACGACATCAGGAGAACCTGATATCGTACAGCAAGACCTCCTCCAGGAGGAGGAAAATGACTATGAGGTCACGTACGAAGACATGAGTGCAAAGAGTACTATCCCTATTAGTATATGGAAGAAGTCTACAGATCCGAAATACTGGGGAGACTTAGTCGATATCGAAACAGGACCTTCGGAGAAACAATTAACAACATACGTCGGCTACGTAATGATGGAAATCATACACCTAGACCCTCCACAGGAAGTACTTACTACGAAATTGTACGAGGACTTCCATCAATGGTCGCCATACCAATGGGACTTAGTTAACCGGACGTACAAAACCGAGTTCGCACGACTACTTAAACTAAAAGGCTTTTAACTACCTAAATCAAGGACGGTTTCAGAACAATTAGTCGATATAGTCTCAGACATAGCAAAAGGATTCGATTCTACGGACGACCGGGATAATTCCCAGACAAGAACATCAAGCCGTACGAACATTATTACACGCACACCGGTCCGAACCCCAGAGACAACTACACGTCAGACTTTAGCTGAACCAGCGATAGAGTCAATCGAACCTTCGTACGATACCGAACGAGCAAGCAGGAAGTCAAATACTCGAGATCAATCAAGCACACAGAATCTACCCCCAGGGGCAAGATATACCCAGGAGATCGAGAGCTTCCCACAGATACAGGATCGTACAACAAGTATCTATACAGCAAACAGTATTTACGATCTTCCACCACGACGCATAGTCCAGAATGGACCGTGCGAACCAAGCACGATTGCGGTCTTTCAGAAGGGATGGAAGAAAGAGAGGAACTATACTAGCAAACCGTACGATATCCTGTATGACAAGGCCAAGATTTTCATCAGCTTCTGCAGACGATTGCGAATAACAGAGGACCAATACCATGCCGTGTTTCCAGACATCTTAGCCGATCGTGCGGAGGAATTCTACCTCCACCATATCGGGCCAACAAAGAGGTGGGACGAGATTTACAAGATGCTAGATGCACATTTCAATACAGACATCAACCACAATCTCTACTATACAGATTGGACAACATTATCTTTCGTACGAGTTAAACGTGAGGAACTAGACAAGAAACCGATCGAGGTCCTCGAAGCATTATTTGATAAGTTATCTCTCGTACAACGAGCACTAGGTACAGGATTCCAAGGAGAAATTATGCTTCGCACGCAAGTTATCCAGGCATGCCGAGGCGTACCAGAGCTAGAGAACGCCCTCAGTAATCACAAGTCTGACCAGACATGTGAGGAGCTATTCTCTAACTTACGAGCCTCGCTACAAGTTGCAATCGATAGGAAGACAATATCGTACGACATTAACTTTGTCGATAGGCGGTATAATTCCAACCAGAGAAGCAGACATAAGCAACAACCCTACCGAAGACCTCAAGGACAGACGTACGAAAGACAAGACCAAGGGAACATATCCCAAGGAAAACCTACCCGTACGAACACAAGCAAAAGATGCTTCATCTGTAAGAAGACAGGCTGTTGGTCGACAAACCATTCTGATGAGGAACGCAAATATGCAAGAGACCAATACCTACAAGCATGTTATACACTCCACCAGGAGCCGTACGATGATTTTACAGCATATCTACAAGAAGTAGAGGGAGATAACCCTGTTGAAAATATTTCTGATGGTGACGATGATGATACTGGAGACGAGGAGGTTTCAATTTTCCTTACTTCAGCAGCATTCTTCCACCGTACGACAGGGGAAGACATTTTCTCAGCTCCAAAGACAGTAGAAGCAACTCAATTCGTACTACAAGACCCATATACATCAGTTTACCAAGGGGAACTTTGGGACACAGGTGCAGCGAAAGTTTCTACAGTCGGCAAGTCACAGGTCATAGCATACCTCAGGGAAAACCCACAAGCAAAAGTATCCTGGAAACCAGGGTCGGTCTACGTACGATTCGGAGACGGACGCTTAAACACATCAATCGGGACTATCATCATGGAGAATCCAATCGGACGAGTGAAGTACCATATCTTCGAGTCAGCTACGCCATTCTTATTCTCTTTAAAAGATGCAGATAGACTAAAGGCATACTTCAACAACATTGCGAATGTTATCGTACGACGAGATAGGAAACATATTCCAGTCGTACGCAAATGGGGCCATGCTTTTTTCAATCTCAGCAAAAGAGAGTCAAGTATTTTCTTTACGGAGGTACAACTAAGGCGTTTACATAGACGATTTGGACATCCTCGTACGGAACGACTATACCAACTTCTGAAAAACGCTGGACACGACGATATTAGCCAGTCGATTTTAGAAAAGGTCCAGAAGTTCTGTCACAACTGCCAGTCGCACGATCCAGCTCCAAGGAGATTTAAGTTCTCCCTTAAGGACGAGAGCTATTTCAATTACGAAATCGTGGTAGATGTCGTACGACTGAAGGACAAAAATGCCTTACATGTGATCGATACGGAAACAAGCTTTCAAGGAGCAACATTCCTAAAATCCCTTTCCGCACGAGACACATGGAATGCGTTAACCAAATGTTGGATTAACACCTATGTCGGTCCACCAGACTATATCGTACACGATCCGGGGACAAACTTCGCATCTACTGAATTCCGCAAACATGCCGAAATTATGGGTATTACGTGCGATGAGATGCCAGTAGAAGCACACTGGGCAGTCGGCAAAGTCGAGAGAGCTCACGCTCCCTTAAGGCAAGCGTACGATATCCTTCATACCGAACTCAGTCATAATACAGACGATAAGACAATCCTACAGATGGCTATCAAAGCGTTAAACGATACAGCTGGACCGTACGGAATCGTACCAACACTTCTGGTATTCGGTACTTATCCACGTATTAACAAGGATTCACCACCATCACCAGAAATCGTACAACGGGCAGAAGCCGCCCAGAAGGCAAGGAAGTTACTTCAAGGCATCCGCGCAGAGGTTGAGATCAACCGTGCGATCAATACAAGGAACGGTCCTAATATTCAACAAGTCTTATCCCTCCCTATCCAGAGCGAAGTCATGGTATGGAGAGAAAACAAGGGATGGACCGGACCGTACGAAGTACAGGGGATTGAGGGACATAATGTAACTGTGAACATGATAAACGGACCTACACAGTTTCGGGCGACACACGTCAAACCATACTATAGGGACGATACACAACCCCAGGAAGAGTCTGAACCAGACGTCGCACGGCAAATCCCTCAACCACAACCAAGGAAAAGAGGACGGCCAAAGAAGGGTCAAAGAAGGGCCGTACGACAATCCCCAAGACATTTTCTCACTCAGAAAGAGAAAGACAACTACGAGTTAGCAGTAAAACTCCGACTTGACAACATAATCACAACACCAGGATTACCGTACGAAGAGTCGGATAGGATTGAGATCGACGCGTTAATCAACCAGGGAGTCTTTACCTTTATTCAGTACGACCCAGACAAACACTCCAACATACGGATCTTTCATACACGAATGGTTAGAGAAATCAAAAACAAAACCACGAAGCCGTACGAAAAGTCAAGACTAGTAATCCAAGGATATGGTGACCAGGAAAAGGAGGAAATCCTTACACAGGCACCAACGATCCAGAGGATGAGTCAGAGACTACTCCTCGCCCTTGGACCTACCCTCGTACGAGACTTCAAGTGTCAAGGAGAACTCAGGGATATTACGCAGGCATATACCCAATCGGACGATCCATTAAAAAGAACAATTATCGCACGACTTCCCAGGGAACTCGAGGGTAAATACCCAGAAAGAACACTCCTACATATCGTGAAGCCGCTCTACGGATTAGCAGAATCAGGTCTTTACTGGTATAAGACGTACGCTACACACCACAAGGAGGACCTTGGAATGATAGAGTCAACGTACGACCCATGCCTCCTTTATACTACGACAGGAGCAGACGACTTTGGTATCACGGCAATGCAAACAGACGATACAATGAGTTTCGCAACAGCAAGTTTCTCCGTACGGGAAGAGGAACAATTGGAGAAGAAGGGCCTTCGTGCGAAGCCGAAAACAATCCTATCACATAACCAAGAAGTAGATTTCAATGGCGGCAGGATTCAGTCGTACGAAGACTACTTTACTTTCTTACAGAAAGGACAAGTTAAGCAGCTCAATACTATAGAGATAGATGCACTTGATGCACGACAACAGTACGTTTCGCAGCGGGCAAGGGGCGCATACCTTGCTTCAATATGCCAGCCAGAGGCATCGTACGATTTAGCAGTCGCAGCTCAGATCAAAGAACCAAGTAAAGAGGACATTGAAGCTCTGAACGTACGACTTCAATGGCAAATAGACAACCCTGATCGAGGTCTTAAATATATTCCACTCGACTTCGTACGAACAAAGATGTATATCTTCACAGACGGATCATTTGCAAATAATACAGACCTTTCATCACAGCTTGGATTTGTTATCGTACTTGCAGAGGAAACAGCTCGTACGACGACAGACTTTGAGATCAATGGAAATATTATCCACTGGAGCTCAACGAAATGCAAACGAGTGACTCGAAGCGTACTAGCTAGCGAACTATACGGAATGACTACAGGCTTTGACAGTGGCATATCGTTAAGCAGTACCTTGAACCGGATTCTTCGTACGCTCAACCTCCCAGGAATTCCAGTCGTGATTTGTACAGACTCAAGATCTCTGTATGAATGCCTCGTACGACTAGGAACTACTGATGAGAAAAGACTTATGATCGATATCATGAGCCTGAGGGAGTCGTACGAGAAGAAAGAAATCTCAGAAGTGAGATGGATCGATGGCAAAGACAATCCAGCAGATGCTTTCACAAAGAAGTCATCAAATTCAGCGCTCGAGCAGTTAATTACGACAAGCAAGCTCAGGATAAGAATCGAAGCGTACGTGGATAGACTTGGGGGAAAAGACGAATGACAATCAACTCGTGCGATTTTACTATCGTACGAAAACCCCAATACCAAGATCCACCACCAGATGTTAGTCTATGAGAGCCGGACCCTTGAGATCATAGATAACCACCGTACGAATGAACCAATCCCCCAATTACTCCTTCTCAATCAGCTGCGGGTTGTGAGAAGAGCCAAGGAAGCTGCCAGAGGTGCCGACACCACGACCAAGCTTGCGACCAGGCGTACGGTCGGGCTGGCGAGCGCCACGGGCGTACGGCTTCCGATAGTTAGAGCGACGGGGAGACTCATCATCATCATCGTTGTCGGAATGGTTGCTACCACCAGACGAATCGGACGAACCATCCTCCTGACCACGGTGAGAGCAACGAGCGCCGTGCGACTGCTAGACGCATTCCGCACACGAGCCATCAGAGAGGGTCCTGAGACGAACACACTCCCGGAATCGAGGAGAGCCAGAGGTCGCACACTTGCTGGCGCAAGCAGGCATCGTACGACCTCGAGACTGAATGATGATCGCGATGAAGTAACTAGAGCGTCGTATGATAGAGGCGACGAACTCTTGAACGCTCATGTTGCCAGTCATACGCACTTCAATGTCGTGCGACGGCAGGGCAAGAGCATTACGTTCATCGTTCTAGACCATGGTTAGAAAACATAAAAGGAAAAAAAAAAAAGCGTTGAATGAGAATGATTGTTCAACGTACGAAGAGAAGAGAGAAGAAGTGGTGTACGAAGAGGAGAAAAGGTAAGTAAGAGGAAAAGAAGAAAAGACGCGTTTTTATC